CTTGATGGTTTCAGCCTTGCTGTTTGCAGCCACCATGAACTGCGGCCCTGCCATGCCAGCCTGCCTTGGAGCCAACTGAGTACGGACTGAAACCTTCAAAAACTGCAAGAAATAAACCTTTCCTTTCCCAACTTTGGGCTTCAGGTATTTTTGTCTCAGCAATGAGTAAAAAGTAACTAAGACAGAATTTGGTACCGAGAGTGGGGTCATTTGCTGTGACTATACCTGACCATGTTTTTTGAGAGGCTTTGTAAATGGCCTGTGGGCAGAGTTTGGAAAGGTTCAGACATGTCGCCTGGACGTGTACAACTGGAGCAGCTTAGTCTGTTCTGTAGAGGAGATTCTGGTCAGAACTTAGGAGACCAGGAGGCTGATAGAAAGCCTGATGGTAAAAACCAGGCTTGGGAGGTTTCTGCTGGGAAGAAGGACTGCATTGGTTGTTGGACTCCTGATGATGTGTATTATGGCTGGGCAGAAAGTTTGCCTGCATTTTGTTCATGCCCAGAGACTTTGCCTGAGACTGAAACAAAGGGCAATGGACCGATTAATCTAGAAAAGGAAATTTCAAAGCAATTGAATATTGAGGCTATGGCATGGCTATTGTTGGGGGCTTTTAGCCAGCTTTATGTTGCAATCAAGAACAAAGAGCCCAGCAGGATAATTTGCAATACTGTGAGTTTGGCCAGAAGGAAAATTCCAGGAATGCTGTGGATTGTAAAGACAGAGTTGAGACTTTGATTGTTGAGGAGAAACAGAAAGATAAAAGAATTTACTCAGAGGAGAAAGCTGCAGAGCACCATATTTGAGAATGGCAACAGAGGCCACATGAGGTTCCAGAATGGTGACAGAGGCCACATGAGGTTCCAGAATGGTGGCAACATAGAAAAGCTTTTCCTCACAATCAGGTAAACCGAGCCCTGCAATCCAGGCAACTGACCCCTATAGCCAAGAGAGAGAAACGCCTGGCTACTGCTTCAGCTGGCAGCAGACCTTGGTGGCATCCACAAGGTGCTGATTTTAGATGCAAGTAAAATGCACAAATTCTGAGGGTAAGACGGCTTCCACCTCAATTGCAAAGGGCCCAGAAGGCCAAGCAGTGTGCCCCTGAGAGGGCAATTTGTGAAGATGTAAGGGTGAAGCCAAAGGTGCATTGGAGACCCCAGAAGTTTGAAAAAGCCAGGAACGTGGATGATCCAAGGAAAGGGGCCAAAAGCGAGCAGAGAGGATTTAAGAGAAAAACTGCGTGGGTTGAAATCACCAGAAGTGCCGTGGGGGTGGAATCACCCAAGCCTTTTTGGAGCTTGCAACCAGATTGTTTCAGATGCTGAGCATGAAACTCTAGGACTTAATGCCCTGCTGGATGTTGGACTTGCTTTGTTTCCAATGCTTTATATTCCCCTATTTGTAAATTTTGGAATGGTAATGTTTATCTTGTGCCTTTGCATTTCAGAAATGTTTAACCTTGTTTTATTTGTACAGGGGGTTACAGCAAGAGTTTGCCATGGATCTTGGAGGAGATGGGACTTGGACTTTTCAGCAATGCTGAAACTATCAGAACTTCAGCAACTCTGGGAGGTGGACTAAATGTCTTTTGTATAAAGGATGTACATGAGTCCTGGGGGCCAGGGATGGAATGTCATGGTTTATGCCTGTGGCCCCCAGGCCTCACGCATTTGCATTCTGCATTTGTGTTTGGTTCATTGTTTAGTGTTTGGACTGATGGTGTCAGTGCTACACCCACTTAGGGGTGGAGCCATGGCAGGAAGAAGGTGCTTCTTGCTCTTTTGCTGGTTTTGGCCTTGCTGTTTGCAGCCGCCATGAACTGCAGCCCTGTCATACCAGTCTGCCTTGGAGTCAACTGAATATGGACTGAAACCTCCAAAAACTGTAAGAAATAAATCTTTCCTTTTCCAACTTTGACCTTCAGGTATTTTGTCTCAGCAATGAGTAAAAAGTAACTAAGACACTATCTGTAAGTTCTTACATTGAAAAATTGTGCCTTCCCTAACCTGGGTGATTCCTCCACACCCCACCCCAGGATGCCTGTCTTATAGCAGGCAAATAGCTGAGACCAAAAGAAAGGTACAGCAGCCTCAGGCCATTCAAGTAGCATCTGGAAAACCAAGAGAGTGCATGTCCTCTGTTGAAGCAATCTTGTTCTTTGCTATGTATGTCAGAAAAATCCACACACCCATTCATTAGGATGTACCTAAGCAAATGTTTTACTATGGTCTTGTGATGATTGTGAGTTGGTTGCAGATCAAACATTCCCTAAGAGATAACCAGATAAGTAATATGTAGTAGTGGCATGCAGAAATAACAAATTTGAATTAATTTCAGTAATATGAATGGATCATGAAAAACACGGCATTAATGGCCAGGGATACAGCTCAGTGGCATAAGTACCTGCCTGGCAAGCACAGGGTCTTAAGTTTGATTCCCAGTATGCAGAAAGAAAAAAATGTGGTATTAAAAAAAGAGTAAAATTTGTAGCACAAAATCATTTATGTAAATTAAAAGCATCTGCACATGAAACCTGATGTATTTTAGGAGAATACATGAATATTTATGAATAATGTTCAAACATATTAGAGGGGCCTGGCAGAAACCAATAAAGATAATGTGCTATGCACAGAGCAGTATGATGAACACGGCTTTCCACAGCCCAAGACCAGTAAAACCAAGCTATATGAGAGCAAGGTACAGATAAATTATAATAGGCACATAGAGGGAAGTATAAAGGATTCTACTCTGAAAAGATCAAAGTTTCATGGAAGTCATGGCATTCTAGCTACTGGAGAGCAGAATTCCAGTGAGTAAAATGTACAAAAGATTGCATTCTGTAGATAGCAGGGAGCCAGTGAATGTTTTAAACTGAGAAGAGATACATATTTTAAGGAGTTATTCCTAGAGCTCAGTTAAAGGTCAGTGAGGGGAGAAAGACCATAGTTGGAGAGTCTTGTATAGAGCAGGAATCATTTGACTGGAATCACAGGAACATTTGCTAGGAATGCAGGTGTCTGAACCCCACTGTTCTAGCCCATGGTTCTAGGAGGTATTGAGAACTCTGAAATCTACATTTTTAAAAACAGTCTTGGAGGTGACATTTAGCTCATTGAGAATTAAGAACGATGTTTGTTTTAACAACTGTATTAAACCCCATTGAAGAGATTTTGAATTCCAGATGCTCAGGCTTTTCTACAGACCAGTTAAACTGAACTTTTGAGGGTGAAGCCAGGGCATCACTATTTTTAGTCTGCTCAAGTAATTCCAAAATTCAGTTAAGGTTGGAAGCTACTATACTCCAACAGGCCGTCTTTAGAAAACAAAGAGCCAGCAAGACTTTCCCTCACTTCATGTTTGTTTAATCTCCAACAAATCTGATCCTCTACTTAACTGCATCAAGGCCTCAGGCTCTAAATCACTTATATTAAAAATATAAATTATCCAACCTTTTATTTCAAAAACCCTTAGGCATACAGTAGACTACATTTCCATTCCTGATCTTTGGCAATTGACATTTGATTATCATAAAAGGGCTAAATTGGGAATTAAATAAAAGCAGCAAGATCTCTGCTCTAGTTTAGTCTGATGAAAAGCAGTACTGACAGATGGTAGAACATGCTATAGCTCGTATATTGAATACACCTTGAAATCACACACATACAAAAAACAAACATGCAGTGATATTAGACATATATAATATATATCAATTTAGAGTGTGGGTACGAATAAAGTGACAAGCCGAATTTGCTGAGCAGCACTAAGACACATAACTTATACCTTCAAATCCAATTATTTATTAGTCACTGATCAGATTTCTGCTTTAAAATGATTTGTGGCGAGAGTTTGCTGGGTATCCTCCCCAGCCGCCCACTAAAGAATCCACAGAAAGACAGAACAAGAAACTTGAAACGTCATACAACCCCACACAACTACTGCTAACTCAGCGCAGGAATTCGGGAGGACTTTCTGTGAATAGAAGGGGATATATTTTAAAACAGCCTCCCCGAGTTCGGCTAATGTTTTCTACATTTTGGAATGCACAATGAGTCAAGTACGGTGGGCAGCTAGCAGCTGTACATGATGTATCTTAATTTCCTTTTCCTCCTCCTCTTCCCTGCTCTTGATTGTCTCCCTCTCCCCTCCTAAAAGCTAATGTATAAGTAAATGTCTTTCACACTGCGTTCTATAATTAATGCGAGCCTTTCCCAGGCCGGTACTGAAGCTAGCAGAGGAGCAAGTTCTAGTGCTGGATGGTCGAAGACACCCTCGACATCCTGGTGGCCATCATGGCCGGGCAGGAACTGCTAGCCCAGAAAGTGGTGACTGTGCGCTGCGAAGGCATCAACGTTTCTGGCAGTTTCTAAACAACCCAGTTAAAAGCCAGGTATGCCTGTAATCTCAGCACTCCAGAGGCCAAGGCAGGAGGATCACTGCAAGTTCAAGACCAGCCTGAGCTATAAAATGAGCTCCAGGCCAGCCTGTGCTACATAGCAACCCTCAAATTAACAAAGACAAAAACAATAACAAACAAACAAAAAAAAAAAAAAAAAAAAGGAAGAGAAAGAAAGAAAGGAAAGAGTTAAAATACCAAACCTTCCTCTACAATCAGATCAATGGCCAACACAGCGAGCCCACTTCAGGCCCCATCAGCAGCTCCTGGCAGAGACCCAGGGCCCTGGGCGGCTCAAGGTGTAGCATGGGATCCCTGCGCCCTAGCATGGGTAACAGTGGGCAGTGGTCCCTGCTGCCCTGGAGATTGTGTGTCTGAGGCCAATGAGGGAGTCTGCCATGCTAGGGCACCTGGCTCTTCAGGGAGGCTGGAGGTAGCAGGCAGTGACGGCCACCCCGGGGGAGAAGAGAAAGAAGGCCAAGATGCATTACTGGAATTAAAAACAGATTATGAAGAAGAAGAGAACATGGAGAAAAATGTTTACAAGTTCACAAAGATCCTTAAAGACCCACAGACTCTTGGCCTGAGCCTAATAAAACTTTACCTCTCATGGTTGGCCTGGCCCATCCTTTCTCCATGGCTGGGATGAGGGGAACTGGGGGGCAGCTGGCTCGGTGCCACTGGGAGTCTGGGGCCTAGAAAGCTGAGCAGAGAGAAGGAGCCTTGATCACCGTTTTTGTTTAGGAAGATCTTTCTACAAGGTTACTTTAACAGCTCTAAGCATTGTGCAGAAGGAATTTACAACCTGCTTGTTCATGAAAGAGCTTTAGAAAAATGATAGAACCCTCAGTGCCTTTGATTGCATTGTTTGAAAGGGAACTGGGTGCTAATGGGGAGGTATACTGCTCCCTGCCCGATGCCCACATGGCCCAGTGCCACTCTCCGCAGCTGTCAGGGTGGGAGGAAGCACCTGCGGCTGCCTGCCAAGCAGCAGAGGTGCTGGACTAGGAAGCTGTGTGGCCGAGGGCCACCAGGCATGGTCCTTGCTTCTTCTGTTTGTTACCAGGACAGATCAGTTACTTAGAAAAATAAAATTAATGTTGGATGCTGAAACACCAACAAGATAGCTCATAAATTATTAAAACACACAAAATAGCTGGATAATTAAAGATAATTAAAAACATAAGTTTCTTGAATAAGAACTATGGCTACTTAATCTATAAATTCAATGCCTTCCCTGATGAAGTCCTAAAAGAGTTTTCTGTTTTGTTTTTGTCTACTTTTGCTTTGGACTATGGTAAAATGATTCTAAGGGTGTTTGAAAAAAAAAAGTCAAAGGCAAAGTGCCAAGAAAATATTGACAAGACTTTACCAGGATTTTAATTTTATCAACAAACTATAAAATAACAAAGTACAAAAACTGGATCGATGAAATAGGAGATAGTACATAAATATGAAATTTTAATATGTATCAAATGAGGCACTTCCAATTAACAGGAAAAATACTGAGCTGGTTTTCTGGGAAAACAAAATTGAGCACTTCTTCCATCCTTATACCAAATGGAAAATTCTAGACAGATCGAGGATTTAAATATGTAAAAATAAGATCATGCCATTTAAGAACATCACAAAAATTGGAAGTCAAAGAATAAAAGACCAATAAACTACAAGTTGATTACCTTCAACTTTTAGGTTTCTAAATGGAATAACCAAGAAGGAAAAGAAATTAGAGAAAATACTGCCTTAAACCAGTATCTATAAGCATCAGGTAAAACATGATCCTTTGGACACAAAAATCTATTTGGAGAAACAAGTCATTTATAGCAAAATGGACTTGCCTTGAGACCATCACTTTAAATGAAATAAATCAGACACACAATTTTAAATAGTGCATAGTTTCTCTTATATGAGAAACTAAGTATATAAATCAAATGCAAAATAACAGAGAAACGGGGAAGAAAAAAGTTATTGTAATGCAGCACCACCAATGTATCTAAAAGTATAATTTGATTTAGTATAATTGTTTTGTATTTTGTATGTTTTTTGGTCCATTAGTCTGGCTGTTAATTTGTGTTCCTGATGATTAACTTGATAAATATTTTTAAATAAATAAATCTGATGCTGAGATATATCTGTCCATCCATCCATTTGGTTCAAGCCACAATGAAGATCTACTGGACTCTCCACCCCTCTCCAGGATCTGAACTTGGCCAGGGCTCACATTTTCATGGTCATTCTAGACCTTTCTCAAAAAAATTCTTATCTGAATCCACATTCCCTTCCCTCTCTTTCATGCAGAATTGGTTACTTTTCTGTGATTTTCCTAAAATCTCCTTTAAATCCTCTACATGTTTAACACAATTTATTGAAAGGTTAGAGTGAAAACAGCCATACCAACAAAATCCAATTAAATGCTGGCTACTGTTGTCCTAAACTCTTTTTTGTAGACTCAGCATTAGGAATATATAATTTATAATATTTTCTGCAGCCTTTAACTCTTTGCTATTTTGTTTCCTTCTTTCTTTCACAGTATTTATTTTCACTCTCAAATCCTCATTTCTTTACTTTTTCTTCCTCAGCAAATTTATACTTTGTTGTTAAATAATATATGCATTAGAAAAATGCATAAAACAAAATAAAAATCACCTAGGTCAAGAAAGCCTTTCTCTCTCTCTCTCTCTCTCTCTCTCTCTCTCTCTCTCTCTCTCTCTCTCTCCCTCTCTCTCTCTCACACACACACACACACACACACACACACACATACACACACACACACACACACACACACACTCACAACCACCACTCCATTTGTTAGAAATAACCTTATTCTATGATTGTTAATCACCATTCCCTTGTTCTTCTTTATAGTTCTACTACCTCAACAGACTTAAGCTGTATAACTTGGTCTGTTTTCGAACTTCTTATGCACATAAAAATACCACATATGTTCTGTTGTCTCAATTTTCTTTCTCAAAACACATCGATAAGCTTTATTCATGCTGGAACAGGTAGCATACATGTGTTCAGGCTCACATCTGTATAGTTTTTCATATCATCATTTATTTGTTATAGTGTTAAAGGCTATTTGAGTTGTTTCTAGTTTGAGGGAATTACAACATTTCTATGAATATTATTGTGCATGCATTTTTAAGGAATTTTCCACAGGTCACAAGATGTGTATGGCTATAACTAGACATTATCTCAAAATGGAGTTTTTGATACTCCACATCCTTAAAAATATTTCACATCAGCAAACATCTGATAGGTTTGTTTTTATTGATATTTTAGCTTATATGGATTTCTGATTAGGTTTCATGAATTTTCATGTTTATTAGGCATTTGCATTTCTTCTTCCATGAAATCTCTGTTCACATATTTTGTCATTTTAAAAAAATGGTTGTCCCTTTTCTCTCAGTTTGTAACAGTTCTTTATGTACATTCAATAGCAACCTTTATCAATTTTATATATATATAAAATAAAGCATCTCCTCCTGCTTTTCTCTCATATTATTATGTCTTCTGTTAAACATCATCCAGAATCCTGCACATGGCTATCTTTTTGTTTCACTGGTTTTTTTTACAAGCTATTCTATCATTATATATAAACTTCTCAAGGTGTCCTCCTAAGCAACATTAATTTTACACTTATATGCTCATGGTAGGTGTTAAAATAATTTAAAACTATCTCATTATATTAAATTAAAATGTAAATCATAATTTTAACAGAAATAAATTATGAGAGGTTAACAGTTATTATTTAAAGTACAAACACAAGGCTTATATAAAACAAGTAGTCAGACTATATAAAAATGTGTGAGAAATATAAACAGTCAGTTCATAAAAGAATACTAAAGATCAATAAACATATGGTAACTGCTTAATGCCATTAATCTAAGAAATGCAAATAATATAACTTAATATAAATATTCATCTCTAAGGTCAACAGTATGAAAAAGCTCCATAACTCTGCACTAGTGAGAGTGTTAGAGACAGGGACTCTTGTAAATGATTAATGGAAACACAAATCTATTTGAACTTGCTGGAAAACTATTTGACAACATATTTCAAAAACTCAGTGTAGCATTCATGTTTTGAATCTGAAATCGCTCTGCTTAGAGTTACCTTCAGGAGTCAGGTGTGAGCAGACTGGTGCAGTGGCTCCTCATCACATTATCACTGATAGTGACAGGGTGAGTGGTGTGGAAACCTGCAGGATAGTGCACAGCAAGGATGGCATTTGCATTACCCAGCAAGTGAGTTTAGTCTACTAGACTAGGCTAGATATTTTGCCCAATACTTGCAGATGCTTTTTTTTTAACATTGTGAGTTTATTGCTTGCATTCTAAAATTAGTAGATTTCAGACTGCAGAGAAAGAGGACAAGACCACACCAGGAAGCAAGCCCCTCCTGGGAACCAGTGCCATGCACCAGCCACTGCTGGAGTGGGGACAGCCAAACTCAAGTCTCTACCTGTGAGTCAGTGCCATTCACGGACTGTAGGGGGAAAATCCAATACCACACCAGGAAGCAAGCCCCACCTGGAACCAGCACCATGTGCAGGCCCCTGCCATACTGGGAACAGCTAGACCCAGCCCCTTATGGTGTACAGGCTGGCAAATAAGAAGTAGCCCCCCCACGCTACCCCATAAGTGACTGCCTGATCGGGAGAAACACGGGCTGTGAAGAGGGCTATCCAGGTAAAATGCAATTGGATGCCTGTGGTGCTTTGGTGTTTCACTGACCTTGCAGGTCTAGGGCCAGTGGTTTGATCATAAGTTCAGAGGATAGTGGTACGCAGTGTGGCATCTGGAAGGTATCTCCTTCTGAGAGTTGTAGCCATTGTTGATTCCATATTGTCTTGTTTTGAAGTCCTATATCATTTTCATTGTTTTGTTGGGTTGAGTTTAATACTGTTCTGTTTTGTTTGACTATGTTAAACCCAATGGCAGGAGCAGCTATTTCAAAGATAGCAAGATATATTATGGTAGCAATTTTTGATTTACTATTGTCTTGTTTTGAAGTCCTTTATTGCACTCATTATTTTGTTTTTATTGTTTCTACTCTATTCCACACTCTTTGATTTTTACTATGTCCAAAGATATCTGCGTCTATTTTGAAGACAACAAAAGGCATTATGGTAACTATTGTTGATTTTTGCAATGTTTTGAAGAGCTCTATCACTTACATTCTGGTTTTTTAAATTGGTTTTAATATCTTTTATTGTCTTTAGTATTATCCTTTTTAAAATAAATAAGTAAAATTGGGAGATTTCACTTACAAGTTTTAACCTGGGACTCCTCTAGATGAAACAAGCAGCTGAGGTTTTATACCAGCTCCCGTACAGTTTGCTATTTTCTTATATAGAAAGTACAAAAGTATATTAAAAAGAAACAAACATTAGGGATAACATTCCCTGCCCCAGGAATAATCTTTGTGGAATTTATGTACATGTTCATTTAATTCTTTTTTCTATTTATAATATATCTTGTAGAAAGGTGAAATTAGGAATTATAGTTTTATATTTTCTAGCAATACATGTACATTGTATTGTGTCACAAAACATTTATCATCATTTTAATGATGTCATAATATCCTATGGATATTATATGATTTGCACAGCTTTTATTCTAATGTTGGACATTTAACTTGGTTCCTTATTTAATTACTTGATTTTGTTGTAATAAATAATGCTAATGTTACATTGAAGATCTTTTACCATAGTTTGGTGAATTTTTTAATATTAACCACTCACAGATATACAATATCTGGATCAAAGAACTGTATATAATAAGCATTTTTAAGGTCTTTGATATGAAAGGATTACCAGCTTGCTTTCTCACATTGGAGGGATAAATTTATATTCTCACCATGAGAAAGCTTCCTAAGTTTATGTTTTCCCCTAGAAATAATTATTTTGGGCTCATGTTTATCATGAAACTTTCCTAAATTCATTTAATTCTGCTATTGAGATTACTATCCATATCTCTACCAATAATACTGTTACTTTTGTTAAAGAGATCCTTGCCAGATCACAAGACAAGCACAGTCAGGAATGGATGAAAGAGACCAATACAATTTCAAGTGTCAGGCCTATAATTGCTCATAAATATAAAGGTGGAAAATGGAAAGGTACCTGAGCTGGTAACCCTGACTCTCCTCCACTGCACATCCTTACTACACAGACCCCAGAATGGTATCTCCCGAGCACACAGGGCTGAAGGCTTGTCTTGGGCTGTATCTGGAGGGAGGAAGGAGCTGCATAGCTGTAGCCCTCTGCTGCCACAGTCGCCTCCTGATGCTTCAGTCCCAGGTACCAAGACTGTCCGCCAGATGTAACCCGGAATGGAGGTTGGGAGAGCAGAGCGCAGAGCGCGCAGCTGCAGATGATGAGGTCATCAGCACGATTTGGAGAATGGATGAGTTCACGGGGGTAAGGGAGAGAAAGCATGTCACTTTTCTTTTTTCTCTTTTGAAGTCACTAAGCTTAGGGGGTTCAGGAGGGAATTGTTGCGCTCACTTTATTCTTTGGGAGGCGGGTGGCTGCCTGCCAGGGGCAGCTGCACGCGGGGGTCATTTGCATTGCATGGAGCCTCTGATTTTAGAAGGAAGTTCTTCCTTCCCTTAGATCATCTGCCTCTTTAGAGTCAGGGCCACTGCCTCACACAGATTGTATTCGCTCTTTAATCTTTTCCCCACCCCTCCCTCGCCCTGACTTATTCCGTGCAGTTTAACAAGCTTCCCAGACAGGTCCAGCAGGCTCATCCCCATAGCTTTGAAAGCCAGCTGGCGGACAAAGGAGGAATTATTTCATACACTCTGTGGCTGGGTGGGTTCAGGGAGGCAATTTGTGGAATACATGTTATCTCTCTCCCCCTACCTTCCCACCCAGAATCTACTCACAGGTGCTAGTATCAAGCAGCCTGGATGGTGGCTGGGTCCGACCTCCTGAGCACAGTTAGAATTGCTGAGCCTTCCAACAAACCTGCTGGGGCCCTGAGGGAGCAGAGAGCAATCTCCCAGAAGGAGGAGCAAATCTCTTTGTGTATGGGCACATTCTTGAACTTTCACCAAGGTGATGCTGTGGCTGAAAGGGATGAAGAACTGGCTGTCCAATGTGGGGAAAGTTGCTTTCAGTTAAATGATCCACTTCTTTTCTTTTCCATGGTGCAGAAAAAAGAAAGCAAAAAAGAGTGAAACAGAATGTAGACTAAGGGAGGGACAGGAATGTGTATCCCTTTTTCTACAGACAAAAGTTTCTTTCTGGACATTGCTTATTGTCTAACAAGAAGGTTTCAGGTGCCTTTTTTTTTTTCCCTCTCTCTCTCCAGTTAGAGATGGTTTTAACCTTTACTTTAGAAATGATATCAGATGGAGGGTAAGTGGGCCATTTCAACACCATCTTTAAAACCCAGACTGGATAGAGGCTACATACAAGAAACCGATAAAATGAACAATCAGAAAGGCACATTAGTCACTGGTGAGCACCTACACCCGGAAACAGACAGCGTGTGTGATTAAACCAGAGCTTCTCTCTGTTATCCTCCGAGACCAGTGTGATCAATAAAGCAGATAGAAGCTTAGCAGTAGCAGATGGGCCTCACCTCTCACCAGTAAGATTTGGAAAGATCCTGATTCTTTGGCATCTTGAGGGTTTTTTAGAATTTTTTAATCATTTAGAGTGGGAAAACCTCTATGAATCATAATCCAGATGTCAAGATCCTCAATCTCTTTCTATTCACTTTGAGATTAAAGAGATGAAAAAAAAAAACATGAACAAGTAACACCAAAGTAAAAAATGTGTTTTGAGGGCTATCACAACCTCCCATGCATTCTCACATTTGATTCATAGTGGTGATTACTGAGCTCCTTCAAGTAAAAAAAACAAAGTACCTCTCCTTACCAACCACTTATCCTAGGCACTGGTGGGACTGCCACACACCTTATTTTACCTAATCTTCATAACCTTACAATGTGGATATTGTCCTCATTCTATCAATTAACCACAGCTCTACGGGAGTGAACCTTGATTGTCCTCTCCCGTCCTCATGTTCTCATAGCTAAGCTCTAAGGGACCCTTTCATATGCTGGCCTTATTTCTCTGTATCCCATTGCCACATGACTCAGCACACATGACCACAGGCAGGTACCTAGAAGCCACTGCTATAACCAAGATGGCCAGCAAAGTAACTATACATAAAAGTGACTTTGAGTCATGTATATTTATCCTACTAAACCCAAATTAACTATCTCTAACTCACCTGCCTTAGATCACTCTAACTCTAACCAGGAAGGGAAATTGGACAGAGGGGAATTTGAGATAGAGATAGCAGTCAATGCAATAGGTCTAAAAATACCTCACTTCGGTAAATTTTGCAAAATTTTTTTTGCAAAAGGAAACAATGCAAACATGAGAACACATTACAGGATCACTCTAAGGGCCTCGAAAGAGGACCAAAAGCTTAAACTTTCCTAGCTTAATGGTAAACTGACCTCTGTCCAGAGAAGCTGCCACTGTCCAAAGCTTTTGGCATTCACTTCATTGCTTACTTCATGTTCATCTGAGCAGCCTCACCAGTAGCTCAAGACATGACTGGATTTTTGCAAACAAAAGTCTTCCGACTTTGCTGTTGTGGTTCAGGTGACTGGTCAAACTCTGGAGTCCTATTTGGAGGCCAAAAGTGTGGAGGTTTTCCGCTGCAGTTTAGTACATCTGTCTGAGAAGAGTTTTCTAAAGAGGAGCTTGTACCCTACAAACCACAAAATACATCCCAGAATTATTCCAAGATCATTTAACAAACAAGTGAGAGTCCAGTTTGTGCCTCCTGTCACCCGGTCTGGGCTGTAATTCAACCAGTTGTCTGCCTCCTTCCCTAGCACAGAGACCAGAACTCAGAGCTGGAATGTCCCTTGGCTGTGTGCTCCAGACACCAGGGATTTGCTTATCCTTGCAACTAATAACTATCTTTGGGAAAGGGTTTTGTTTTGATCCAAAACCCTTCATCCCGTGGCACTAATCCCACTGCATTTGTCATCTTCAGCCTCACTGAATACAGAGAAAGAGAAACTTCACCCAGCTTGCCAGGGAGGTAAATAGGTTTAAACTTCACCACAGATGGCCTCGTTGCCTGGTGCCAGATTTTCCTCAACAACTGGTGTGGCTACTGACATGGCAAAGAACCACAGCTAAGCCTGGCTTCTGTCCACCTCTGTGACAACAGAGACCAGGAGGGGGACAGAGGCGACAGCAAGGCCCAACAGTGTGGAGCAAGAACAGAAGGCAAGTGAGAGACTGATGAGGAAAAGGGAGCCAGGGTGTCACAGGCTGGTGGAAGCAGGAAGTTTACTTAGTGTTAGATTTGTTTACTTACTGAGTGCAAGCCACTGTCCCAAAAGCCCTCTGCCTCCTTTTGTTTTGAAGTAGGCTTGAATAAGGCTGAAAACATTCTCTTGTTCTCTTCTTTGAGTTTAGTAAGAGAGGGAAAAGTAACATTTCAACATGACCACTTAAAAGTTTTATTCTTCCTCTTTCCCTACGTAATCAGTCACTGCTCTGCTGCTGTTCTTCATTTCTTTTCCTCAAAAACATAGCAATTAGGGCACGTAAGTCTTTGATACCGTAACACATCAGCTGTTGACTACAATGGGGAGGAAAGAGAGAAGGAAGCACAGAAAGAAAAAGAGAGAGACACAGACAGAGACATGACTGAGCCTGTAATCTTTGGGAAGTTGCCAGAATCTTTTTAGACAACCAATTCCATTCCATAGCATGTGTCAGTGTGTGTGTGTGTGTGTGTGTGCTCGTGCATGTGTGTGTCCATGAACAGCACAGCTCTAAGCCTGGGTGAACAGGGAGCACTCAGATCTCCATGAATTACTGACATACATGAGGCAGAAGTAAAATTAGTAGTGGGCACGGTCCAAACGATTATCAAAGAACTGCTGTCCTGATCAGGTTTTGTGCTAAACACGCCAGAGAAAGAAAGGAAGGAAGGGCTGATGACTGCTTATTTGGCATGTCTTTGTAGTCAGGGCCTTTTCTTCCCCTGAGGTGGTGGTTGTTGTTAACCGAAGTTGTGTGAAACCCCTTCTGTGCAGAAACTGGAGGCTCCCCTTTGAAGCCAGAGCGCCTTTGTTCTTCACCTAAGTTGGTGCTATTTTCAACAGGAGCATTTGTATTGAAGTCTGGTCAGTGCCTGCCACCCAGAATTCAGTAAGGCTGTTTGCCAGGTGGGAAAAAGCAGCTATGGTGGGGCTGAGGTGGGGCCTTCTGTGAATTTCAGACAGAGGAAGGAGGGGAGGATTTGCCTACATATTACAAGTACAAAATAAGACTGTAAAAGGTGACTTGGGTTGATGAGCTAGTGTTCACAATACTCTTCTAGGATAAGGAAAGGAAGGAAGAGAAGTGAGTCAGATATTTTGCTGGACAATAAAAAAGTAAAGGGAAGAAAGTAGAAGTATGCTTGTGTGTAAAATGTAATTATGAGTCAGCCCCTTAACAATGTCACGAGGCTAGCAATGGGCTTAGTATATTACAATAGTTGTTTCTGGGGTTTCCCAAAACACATTCCAATTTCATTTTTTGAAATTACTTTTCAGATTTTTCATTCAGAAAAGACTCAAATATGTTAAATACCAGTTTTGAATGTATTGGGACAGTAGGTTTTCATCTTACCTAAAGTTAGCTTCCAAAGTCATCAAATATCATATTTTAACAAAAATGGCTTAGATATCTTAAACTCATTTTTATTTATTCCTGTACCTGAATGGTAATTCCTGACTGTTTCTCTCTCCTTTCAGGGTGGGGGATTGAGCCTGGGGCCTCATGCATGCTAGGCAGCCTATCAGTGAGCTACAGCACAAACCCTTGCAGAGTGAATTTTACCCAAAATAGTGTCAGAGAACTACTGACTAAAAGAAGAAACAAGCAGAAAGACTAGGTTAGCATGTGATTCTTCCCGCAACAGCACTACCAATCCCAGCTGTGCACAGGATGAGAGTGGAAGCTTTCAGAGTGTCCCTGGGGCTTCCTGTTTCTATCATCTGGAGCCTCTTTTATCTCACTATGGATTGTGATCTTTTTGTTCTTATGGCAGCTAAACTAGTTATCATCCTTCTTATGGCAGGAAACTTGCTCAGAAAGTTAGCAGGTAAATTTTTCCTAATTCAGTTGCAAAGAATTAGGGTGTTGTCTCAGTTGCTCTGTTAATTACAAGTTAGGTAGAGGCATTAAGCTGCAGGATTTCTGTATGTATCTGTACTCTAAATGGCTTCTAAACCAACTCTTATGCTCACATTCCATGCTGCTACCATTGAAACCTATTCTTTATTTTTTAAAAAGAAAAAAAGTAAAACAAAATTTCAAAGCGAGATAA